GTGCGTGGATTGTCAAATATTTATCTAGAAAGTAATAATTGCCTTCAGAAGAATGAAAATATACAAAAAGATAAGAGGAGTTTGAGAGAAAAGATTAAAAAGGAACTAGAAAGACAGAAAAGTGAAGGAAGGTGATGGAGGCGAAGAGTGGTTGAGAAAGAAAAATATAGAGTTAGAAAGTTGGAGAGAAGAAGTATAAAAAAAGAGATAGGGAACAATGTATGCAGGTATATAGATAAATGGATAGATAATGAGAGAGAGATAAAGATAGATTAGATAGGTAGGTAGATAGAGATAGATAGATAATGAGAGAAAAAGAGAGAAACCGAAAGAGAGAGAGAGTTTGATTGAGCGTGTATGCGTGGATTGTCAAATAATTCCGTACTGAGAATTTGGTTAGTTTTTATTTGGTTGTAATTATTACCTTCTGAAGAATGAAAATATACAAAAAAGAGATAGGGACCTATATACATAGGTAGGTAGAAAAATAGATGGATAGATAATGAGAGAGATTGAGATAAATATAGATTAGATAGGTAGATAGATCGTGATAGATATAGATAGACAGTGAGAGAGAAAGAGAGAATGAGAGGGCGAGGGAGAGGGGGAGAGAGAGAGAGAGAGAGAGAGAGAGAGAGAGATAAAGAGGCAGACAGAGAGAGACAGAGAGGGATTTAACTATTTTAACATTATTTGATGGAGTTACTTTGGCAAATTCATTTTTTATAAACAAAAAATTTTTTTAATAAGAAAAGTCCAATTTTGAATATTTAAAGTCAGAATTGACTTATTAACAAACTCAGCTGTTCGTTGTAGTTTTTTTATATTTTGATTATAAGGTAAACCTACAAGAAATATTAAGGTTTTCAGATAAAAAAAATTAGTTGGAAGGGCTGTGAAAATTTTGACTTGTTGCTTGTAACAAATATGTCCTAGTTGAGATTGTGTAACTATTTAACAGTTTTATACAGTGTTTCCATTATTTTCAACAAAATAAAGAGGCGTTAGATAATTACCCTTTTATGTACAGGAGAAGTGGAGAAAGGGGTTTTGGTTAACGGTATTCTAAGGTTACAATAGAGCTAACGAAAGATAGATGGAAGGGTATAAAGTTACCTTGAGGTATCGCCTTTAATGAGAAGCCTTCTGATACCGAAGACGTGCTCAAAGTTGTCGAGTCTATTAGCTTCAGACAGCGACGAGAGGTCAGATAATTGTATTTGAAGCTCCCTTCTGAGAATAGAACAGTCTAATGAAGTGAAACTGGAAATGAAAGAGTTCTTTATTGGAAAGGAATAGGACAAGATAAAATTGATTAGTTCTCTAGAGTTGTAGCTCTAAAACAGGGTCCAACTAAATTAGGATTCCTTTTCCTAAAGGAAAAATATACAAAGAGCTCCTTTCAGAATTGAATAGAACCCAGTGATTGAATTGAATGAAATTGGACTATTGAATATGAAAAAATGCTGATTATTACAAACTCATTAGTATATCCAGACAAATTTAAATTATAATAAAAACATGGTGAGGAAAGTAAAATGAAGCAGAAAAAACTCGGTATATAATACAGAAAAGCAAACAAGCTATAGAACTGTTAAGTTGCAATACATTCCCTTCTTAACAAGATAAACTAGACTTTGTCTTCGTTTAAACAATGCCGGGAGAGCTACAGGTGGCTTGGGATGTCTCGCCACTTTCATCCACCTACACCAATCGCGATCTCATAAAACGCGGATATCAGTTGTCAAGAAACAACATTCAACGGTTTGATTTTTTTATATTTAATAAGGGAAAACTTGGCACAGTGGTTTTCTCGGGGAGTGCTTGAGGTGAGAAATATGTTTATTTGCACCTTATAATAAGGCCAATAAAAACACAGGGTAAAAGTTTCTGCACCTCCCACCAAATAAAAGCACTTGTTAACTTGTGAAGTATTATTGTTAAACTAAAACTAAAATTCGTTGTCTGAACTTGATGGTAAGTTAAATGAAAAAGTCGGGTACTTGTGAACAAAATTATTCAACAAAACCTAAAACATTTTTTTCACTATCGGTTGCAAAATCCCGTTCTCCCAGAAGTTCTTCGGTTTAAGGGAGATGAATTCCTCTGCTTATCCCCGAATAAGTGAAAATTTGAAAGGGGAATAAAACCGAATATGATGGATGGGGTTGCACATACCAGCCGATCAATTTCTGGCGCATTTAGGTCGAGTATTATATCCTTGTGGAAAATAATCCCCCCTTGCGATTAGCCAATGGAAGTAGTTTTTTGGTCAAATTCTGATTTTAATCACTCCATTTGGGCGCAGTATATATTATAATTTGCAAATTTATTTCCGATTTCACCAAATGCATATTATCATCTGGGCGCAAGGCATTACCTACTTATGGAGTTATTAACGGTGGGTCACTGAGTTTCCCCCGAGATATTCCCATCTGAAAATTTTTAAAAATGATACAGCTTGCAACCACAGTTATCATATTTTATCAGGAGGGGGTGATTCAACATTTGAGGAATCATATCGCTCCGACAATCATGTCCAGCTATTTTCAGATTCATTGAAACTCTCCTATTAAATATATTAAGTTTATCTGCATTGTACGATTTTTGGTCTACCAAATCAAAGTTTCCGAGTCTGCAGAAAATCTGGCATTTGTATAAAAATGTCTGTCCCAACTTCCAGCTTTTTGAGAACAATTCATTTCTCCAGTTTAATGGTACCCAAAACATTTGAATGATCTGCATCCATTTTTGCTCATTTGTTCGTAAATGTCTTTATGATCATAACACTGTAAATCTTTGTCTGCTCTTTCTTGTCCTCCACCGCGCCCGTGCGTATGATCTCCGTAAGCACGTTCCGTGTGCATATGGAAGATCGGACGAAGGAAACGTAAAGCGTGCGAGGACTTCGCCAACGGAGTCTGTTGAATGCGTACAGGGTAGCAGGGTAGGTGTTGTGCCCGTTCCCGCGTTCTCTTTCATTCTCCAGGCAGCAAGAGTGCTTAAGGCTTCACCAGAGGACGAACTAAAAGAGGATCCCGACGTGTTTATTCAGGGAAGACGTAGCAAATACTGATCGGGAGCGGATTTCTGGGGTTGAGCGGGCGTAACCCGAAAGGGTGAGCTTGCGAAGCTCTGGAGACACCTGTTGCCAAATATCAGGGAAGAAACCTTTTGACTATCTCTCCCCCTGAATACACCCATGTGGTACCTGAGAATGAACAGTTTTTCTGTGATGTTTGTAAGGCGGGCGCACAATCTCGGAATTATCCCTCGTGATAGGATGGTTGGAAAGGCGTTCTACTTGTTCGGCGTTTGAACGATCAATCTCACCTCTTTTATCCATCCAGAGGGAGCGTACCTCAATACTTTTGGGATCACGCTGCCAAAGGGTGGTAGTTTATGCCCGTTGCAAGGGGCGCAAGCTGAAAAGGTGAGCACATCATTCTCGGGCATTTCCATTTTTTCAATCCAGGTCCCACAGCATTTTTCCATAAGACCTTTCCCAGTCCCTAGATGCAAGGGGGGGGGGTTTCAAGCAAAGCATAATGGTGAAGCTATCAGAGCGAGTAAACCCCCTTAAGTACAAGCTGTATGTCAGCAAGCGAATGGCGAGTGCTTACCAGTGGGTACCAGATCCTGTCTGCATCGACGGGGGAGGGTGCATAACCAACTGAACTCTGGGGTAGCGCAAAGTTCGAGGTTCCAAGCACGGTAGCGTACTACATGTGAATGGAATCGTAGTGGTTTAGTGGAGAGACCCCTGGCGCGTGCTTAGAATAGAGCTTGTTGATCAGTGGTGCCTTTATCGTCTTTTTTACCGAAGGCAGAGTTCTCTAGAGAGTGGTTAGAAATTCTATTATAAACAAAATCTATCTATCCTCCTAATTCTAAAGTGTGATAAGACCAAGTGACTTCGCACGTTAAAGAAGCTCATTGCCCTTCTGATGAAATTGCGACCCAAAATGGGAAAGGAAGTGTTTCTTTGACCGCAATTTCGTTCAAAATTTGTGAGTCAACAATCTTTTCTGGAAGGCCATGCTGGTTCGTTCTAATTGCCCCATTTTCAATTAGAACTCGAATGATAGGCAGTGTTTAGAGTCATAAACAGTTATTATAGTGTGTGTTTGCAGTTCAGACTTCGAATTTGGGATCTTGTAAATAGTTTTAAGACCAATGAGAAGCCCAGCTTTTAAAATTTAGACTCAAAATCTTATGTCATGTTTTCATAACGAGAAATAAAATGAAAATGATCCGATTCCTTGACATTACGTTTGAATATTTCAACAAAACCAAATATTCTGGAAGATGGAATAATGTTGACTAAACGAAGATATATTCAAATATTTAAAAAAAAAATAATACAAAGATTCTCTATTTAATATGTTTTCAAAGTGTTTTTTTAATACAAGAACTGATAATACTTAATGATTTAACCATCATCATGATTACCAAAAAAATGAACGGCATACATAGTGCTTGGTTAACGAATTTATATGGGTTGTATGTCTAGCTAATCTTAAGTGGCGAGCTTTTGGGGTCATAAAGATCATCTCGATGTCGACGTTGTGTTTAAAAGGGAGCTAAGAGGTACAAACCTGTAAGATTTTCCCTTCTGTAAATATTTAACTTATTTTAAGTCCGAGCTTTCCTAAAAGCTACTTAGCAAACTACGTGCTAGGACGGGATTTTGTTAATACCTTTACTTTGTCCGTAACACTTTGACAAGTTTGTCCAAATGTTAACGAAATTGTTGAACCTGGTGAATTAAAGGAAACATGCTGATAGTTTGACGAAAATCTCGATTTGTAGGAAAATACTTTTTGTTTAGATTTATTTTAGATGTTTCATTTGGATGGAATGCAGTTTAAAAAAAAATCACTTGCTCATTTGATGCAATGATTTCTATATTATTATTGAAAAAAAGCACATGTTTCATTTTAATAAAAAGATGGTAGCGTGTAATTATAAATTAAATCCAAATTATAAATGTGAATTCAATGAAAACACATCTTGTCACTCCGGATGGCAACTGTCTTTTTAGAGCATTGTCCTTCTGCCTGTTCGGATTCGAGGAGCATCACCCCGACATCAGGCACAGGTGCGTCCACCACGTCTTAAGACACTGGGATTCGTACAAGAACTTCATAATCGGAGATGAGTCCTTCGGGGCGAAGATCTCGACGCCGGAGGACTACGGGAGACACATGGGTGCGGACGGGACGTACGGCGGCCACGTGGAGATCACAGCTGCGGTAGACATCTTCAACCTGACCATCGTCGTCATCGATTCCGCGACAAATTACTCTCACGAGTTCGGGAGCGGCAGGAGAGGAAAAGTCTGCTCTTTACTGTTTTCGGGATCCCAAGACAAAGGACATTTCGATGTGATTCTCTGATTCTGATCGTGCACGCCTGCCTCTCCGCGCTGATCTTCGAGGCGTTCCTGCTCATGGTCTTCAGAGATACACTAACGGTGATGAATAAGAGTGGTAACAAATACCGTACCATGAGCATGCCAATGTCTGATAAATTCTGTAAAATTAATGTCGGCTTTATTTTTAAATAGATTGTTAAATATTCAAGACATAAACAAACATGTCAATACCTAAACAACTTTACGCTCCTTGAATGCTCGTTTTTTTTCATACTCACATTTTATGCATCTCGTAGTCGATTCAACGGCCAAACTAAAACAGCTATATATAATAACACAATAAAACAATATTTCTTGAATTATTTGGAATCATTTTTGAATTTGACAAGCTTTAATTTTTACAACTGATGCAAGTCTATTCGATCACGTGTTCCTTTGTCTTTATTGTGAACCAATTCGACGAATATACCTCAACGACTGTATTAACTGTAAAATTGAATATTTGTACAGATAATCAACGTATTGATGTGAACAAGTTGAATAAGAATTTTGCGGAAAAAACCAAAACGAATGTGTATCAGAGTTTTATGCTCCACCCCGTTTTATTTATTTATTAGAATAATTGGATAAAATATTGTTTTGTCATTGTACAGGGAAAATGATACATAGCTCAGAAAGATAAAACAAAATACAAAACAACAAATATTGTTATTTACTGAATTAGGAACAGGAACTGAAAAAATAAAAACAAGTAATTGTTTAAAATTTATATTGTTTATAATAATATGTGTAAGGTTTGATTTGATAGAGGAATATAGTAGTACTGCACCACCCTAATAGGAGTGAATGTATTTGCATTGCATTTGATATTTGAGTGAATGTATTGAATGAATGTGGATACGAATGGATTTGAAACTGCATGCTTTGGTGCGGAATTGACCATGCTGTTGACAGCACCTCCCCCCAACCCAACCTCGGGGGCTGGAAGGATAAGACTGAGGTCTATCCCTGAATGGCAACATTCGGGGTAGGTGATCCTCGGTTATTACCGAGTCTGCCGGCAGATTACTCTAAATGGAAGCTGGAATTGCCTGTGGACTACGAGAAGAGCATAGGCTCAACTGGGAACATGTTTGTATGTATGTACGTACGTACATGTGCGGTTTTCTACCTATATAAATCCAAACTCCAAATCTATTATTTATAAAATCGTGAAGAAAAATATGACTTAAAATAAACATTTTAATTCGATATTTAACTTGCCTGCAAACTGGAATGTGGAATGAAGAATAAAAAAAGGCAGTTGGGGAAGGTTATAGGTAGAAACATATAAATGTAAAGTTAGTTACTTGGTAGAAAACTCGGTACAGAAAAGTTGATTAGACTTAAGTTCAAAAGGACTGATTATATAGTAGTTTTTTTTGGAAAAAAGACGTAAATCAGAGCGAGGTCCTCATGTCTGCAGATGATTTAAGGTAAGCTATTGTTTAGATTGACCGTAGTCAGTAAAAGTTATGCTTATTTTATAAAGTTTATGATAAATTTAAAATCAAATAATCAAAATTTAGAGTGAAGGACTTCCTCCTCCTCAGCATTCAATCTTCGGACCCCGGTCCTGGGAAATCTTATGCCTAATCTACATCTATACTCTCCGACTACTAGGCGATTTGCTGCTTCACACATCGGAGAAATAAACATCTGAGACGAGATCATTGCAACTGTGAGGACCGATATGCCCCCGACACACATATGGCATGGGAACCGGACCCCCCCCCCTTAGCCCGGCACCATCGAACAGTAAGCAAGGCCTTGGGCGCGCTGTCAATGGTATACTGTCTGGCTTGGAGAATCGTTCTTTATGCGGAGTTTTTAAATTATGAGCTCTTTCCTTCCGCACCTTGCGTCAGGCGCAGGCTTCCTAAGAGTAGCAACCCTCACCCCTAGGAGTTTTTCAACAGTTGCTAATCACTAGACTCTGAAGGAAAGATTATTTATATGATTATTTGGAGATCGTGAGATGCAGTCTGGTGTATCACTAAGCACCGCACATTATTTATATGTTTAGAACCATAGAATAGTTGCTCCTTCTGATAGTGACCTCAACCACGTAGTCCAAAGCATCCGATCATCAATCAGAAAAATGGGGACCGAGCCGCCTGCAGTAAGTCTGAGTTCTCCATCACCATGGAGGGAGATTTGGAAATTGGTGATTCACTAAAAGAAACCATGAAAGCGCTGACCACTCCTGGGAAGAACGCACAAGGAGAGCCATTATGCTGCAAATTGGCCGTGTATGAGGAACAAAGTGGCAGACAACTCTTCAGGTTCTAAACCTTAGTAAGCTTATTATCTTTCTCCACAATACTGGATTCAGACCAGATAAAAAGCCCAGCACACCTTTCCGGGTTGCATTGTGCTCCTCGGCATAATATATTATAATAGGCTTTACATAATCCTCCATTCCCAGCAAAAGCAGGCTGCTGTTAATAGCGCAAGCTCCCAACTGAAGAATTTGATCGAGCTAAGCCATTTTCTTCTTTCTCCCATCGGGGACTGTGAAGTGGCACCCCGTGTAGAAATATAGAAATAAGGTGTAACTACAGAGATAGTGTAAGTTTGGCAAGTTTTCACTTCACCGTTCTTCACCCACCAATAGTAATGTTACGTAGTACCTTATTACTTTGTTCGAACCAAAGTGCACCTGCTAGAAACCTAGGGGTAATTAGTGCCACTATATATTATATCATGGGCCTAACCATAAGATAAGCTAACCAAAATCGTTGGTTGCGATTAAATTAAAGGTTCATTCCGGGCACCGGTTTATGCGGTAATTCGGGGTTCATCACTAAAGGATACTGGTCCTGGGTTTGAAGCACCCCGAGGGTTCATCACCCCGTAATCCAAGATGTAATTGCAAGAAATACAGGTTTTTCGTTTATCAAAATATCCAGGGATCTGCAAGACTTCTTTTATTTTTCAAATATGAGTCGAAAAGTATATTTTATTTCAAAAGAACTATTTATTTAGAATTGGAATGAAAAGATCTTGTGAAACAATGGAAGATACGCTTACAAAAGAAAAATTAATTAAAGACAAGTGTTTCAATTTTTTGATTATTTAAGACAAAATTCTTGAGGAATGTAACTCCGGTTCGGTGTATTCTTAGCACAATTCAACTATTATTCCAATGCCAAACAATAGAACGCACAATTGAAGACTTGATCAGAGAACTGTTCAAATGAAAAGCGAAAGAAATATAAAAAATTGTGTATCATTCCATTTCCATCAAATTAGTTTTAGAAAAACGAAAAAGAAAATAATAAAAAGAAGAAAAGAGGCACCTCAGACCTGCCCTCCTTTGCTTCACGATGCGGAAAGTAACTTAAAAAGAGGCAGTTGTCAGATGATCTCGCGGACGAAAGGGCACTGACAATCCTCCTCCTAATAACCGGGAGACGTCCTTCTGTCCGAGACAAACAAGATAAAGACGAGATAAGACTTTGGCAGAGTATAGCAATCCAGCAGAGCGGCAAATTGTGCCCCTTCCCAAGACAACAAACACAGATCACAGATTGCCTTTTGTCCTTGGCCCCGGCGACGTCGAAAACAGTTGTTTGTCACCATAGCATGTGCTTATTCTCAAACCAATCTGTTTTGCTTTTCTACTTTCGTAGTAAACCCCGAGAGGATAAATGATTCTCGGGAGATCACGACTAGATAACCGTTTCCCATCGAGCCGGGCAGTAATGGAAATTTTTACCAAAATGGTTCTGATTACCTCCTATCCGATTCTGGCTTAATCTTGTTTACAAAAATACATCTGCAATCAAATCTTAGAATTGTACGTTTTTAATGTAAATATAGAATACTTTTTGTTTGTTTACATAATTTGTACAAGGCCAAACCAGGTGTCACTTTCCGTCGTTCTCGTATGGATCTTTGGATTTATTACAACTTTAATCTACGCAATTTGTATCAAAATTAAAATTAATTATTAATTATTTTTTATTTATTATTTTTATTAATTAATAAGTAAAACTAACAGAGGTAAGGACTGAGCGTATAGACTGTTTTCGGTAATATACACTGATGGACAAAATAAACGCACCACCCTGTAATTTTAACGCATTAAAGTTTATTCATATTTTACATACCAAAAATATGATTAGTTGTAAAAGTTAAAAAAATTGAGTACAGCCATTTCCAACTATTCCAGGGTGTTAGGAACTGGGTTTCCTTCTCGTCAAATAAATAGATCCCAAATTTGTTCGATTGGGTCCAAATCAGAAATTCGAGCTGACTTCACCAAGCATTCGATTCCTAACACATTCAGGTCATCCCCAATACGTACTCCATTGGGCCTGGCATTATCATCCATTAGCGAGAATCTCTTAGGGGCAAATGACATTACATGTTCTTGATTAAGCCGTGTAGGTACCTTTGTGAAGTTGAAGATCTTCCTCGCCCAACAATCAATACGGTGTGTGCGTCCAAGGAAACGCAACTTCAGAACATCAATGACCCTTCATAAACTTGAGGAACCGTACAGCACGGAACGTACCTTTCTTCTGAGCGCCTCCGTATGAAAAATTACGCCTATCTGAAGATTTGACTCTCACCTCATCAGTAAAAAAAATTCGTCCCCAATCTTCCAGTGCCCCATTCACATGTTCCCTTGCTACATAAAGTCTGACCATATGGTTAGGGATGGTTAGGGGACTTTCTTTCGTCTTTAGACCTACCCGGTCCTGGCTTCTAGTATGATTCCTCGTTTCCATAATGGTCCAAGGGGGTATGGCCCTTTTATCCCTACACCTCCCTGTTCCAACTTCGAACCGTCTGTGTACCATTTTAGTGCCTCTTTCCTGAAACATGGAGCTACATTTCTTCCAAAGGTCTCCATTATGTATGACCACTGGGAAGGGTTTGTCACAGTTGAGTTTTTCTTTCGTTTCCTCCTTTTTTTAAAATTGTCCTTCATTCTGTGGTGGCTCCTCATTACATCTGGCTTTGTTTCCTGTA